GGTGTCATCAAAGTTGGTTTCTGGGGCGGACTCTCTTCTTGGCTTATAAACAACCATCTTCTTGCTATGTTCTCATGTGACCTTTCTTCTGTGTGTGTATGGAAGAGAGAGATCTCTGGGAGAGATCTTTTTAAAAGTTTTTTTTAACAAAAAATAAAAGTTTTTTAAAAAAAGATTTTATTCATTTATTCATGAGAGACACACAGAGAGGCAGAGACATAGGAAGAGGGAGAAGCAGGCTCTCTGCAGGGAGCCTGATGCAGGACTCGATCCCAGGACCCTGGGATCATGACCTGAGCTAAAGGCAGACGCTCAACCACTGAGCCACCCAAGTGCCCTAAGATTTTTCTTAAATTTATTATTTATTTATGAGAGACACACACACATACACACACACAGAGGCAGAGACACAGGCAGAGTGAGAAGCTGGATCCCCGCAGGGAGCCCGATGTGGGACTTGATCCTGGATCCTAGGATCACACCCTGAGCCAAAGGCAGATGCTCAACCACTGAGCCACTCAGGCGTCCCAACCCCAAGATTTTTTTAAAAAGATTTGTTATTTATTTATTTGAGAGAGAGAGAGAGGGAATGAGCAGGGGAGGAGCAGAGAGAGAGAGGGAAGCAGACATCTCACTGAGCAAGAATCCTGATGTGGGGCTTGATCCCAGGACCCAGACATTAAGATCTGAGCCAAAGGCAGATGCTTAACTGACTGAGCCATCCAGGCACCCAATAAAGATGTCTTTTAAAGTAATCTCTACATCCCATGTGGGGCCCAAACTCACAACCCCAAGATCAAGAGTCTCATGCTCCACCAACTGAGCCAGCTAGGCATCCTGATGCTTGTAATCTACATTATAATAGCTCTTTCCCTATGTGTTGGGAACCTTTCTGCCACCTTGGCCACATGTGGCCTGGATGTGTGAGCAGAAGGCAGCCCTACATGGACACAACCTAACAACTCACCCCGATAGAGATGTGCGCGTATTGAGGTGGCAGTGATCAAAACCTCCCTTGGAGAAGTGATAGGAGAGGAAGGCATGGTAGACAGCAGTTGATGACGTGAACTTTGGAGTAAAACAGTGAAGTTCAAGCTGGATTGGACTTCTGGCTCTTTTGACATGACCCATGCTGCTATTTAACAAGTATTTGAAGAAAGATTTATATATGCTTTAAGATTTTATTTATTTAGTTTGATAAAGCACAAACAGGGGGAGTGGCAGGCAGAGGGAGAAGCAGACTCCAGGCTCCACAGGGACCCAGATGCCATGTGGGGCTTGATCTTGGGACTCTGAGATTATGACCTGAGCCAAAGGCAGATGCTTAACCGACTGAGCCACCCAGGTGCCCCAGAAAGCTTTATTTTAAAAAATATGTTACGTTAAAAAAATAAATGTGTATATGTTATTTTATTTTTAAAGATTTTATTTATTTATTCATGGGAGACAGAGAGAGGCAGAGACACAGACAGAGGGAGAAGCAGGCTCCCCCCAGGGAACCCAATGTAGGACTCCATCCCAGGACCTGAGCCAAAGGCAGATGCTCAACCGCAGAGCCACCCAGGCATCCCTAATATTTTATTTTTAAGTAACCCCTACACCCAATATTTGAAGAATGCTTTATTTTTTTTAAAGATTTTTATTTATTTATTCATGATAGACAGAGAGAGAGAGAGAGAGAGAGAGAGAGAGAGAGAGAGAGAGAGGCAGAGACACAGGAGGAGGAAGAAGCAGGCTCCATGCCGGAAGCCCGACGCGGGACTCGATCCCGGGACTCCGGGATCGCGCCCTGGGCCAGAAGCAGGCGCTAAACCGCTGAGCCACCCACCCGGGGATCCCCCTGAAGAATGCTTTAAATGAATGTTTATGCTTGGTGAAGTTAATTTGTCAAGTCTCAGTTTCATCATCTGTAAAACTAATGATGATAATATTCTCACAAAACTGTTCAGTACGTTCAAGGATTAAAAGCACTTCTGATTCCTGACTCAGAGTAAGTTTTGAAAAAAAAGACAACTAGTATTAAATATAGTCAGGGGACAAAGGACCATGAACTATGGGTCAGATGAATGCTGGTGATTTCCCAATGATGCTGAGCTGTTCTGGAGTGCACTAAGCCATTGGTTTGGAGGTGATGAAATTACAAATGACTGGGTGGTGATGAGACAGTAAGAATGTTCCCGACCTTACCATATGTTCTCATGAATCCTTGTAAAAAATCTCCAGCACTAACCACATGTTTAGATTTGTAGTAGTTGGATTCTTGGAAGCCCAAAGAAAAGGAGCCCATAGGGGCACCTGGGTGGCTCAGTGGGACTTGATCCCAGGTCTCCAGGATCACACCCTGGGCTGAAGGCCAGTCCCATCTAGAATGGGACTCGATTCTTTTTTAGTAGCTTGGGAAAAGCTTTAAAAAATATCTCTCTTGGGGCCGCTGGGTGGCTCAGGCAGTTAAGGGTCTGCTTTTGGCTTGGGTCATGATCTCAGGGTCCTGAGATGGAGACCCAGCTCAGGCTCCCTGTTCAATGGTGAGCTTGCTTCTCCTTCTCCTCCTGCTGCTCCCCCTACTCGTGCTCTCTGTCAAATAAATAAATAAAATATATAAATATAAATATATAAATATAAATATAAATATGGATCCCTGGGTGGCTCAGCGGTTTACCGCCTCTCTTTGGCCCAGGAGATGATCCTGGAGACCCAGGATCGAGTCCCACATCGGGCTCCCTGCATGGAGCCTGCTTCTCCCTCTGCCTGTGTCTCTGCCTCTCTCTCTGTGTCTCTCATGAATAAATAAATAAAATCTTTAAAAATATATATATACATATGTATATATATTAACTCTTGCACCAATGTATCAATAAATCAAAATTTGCAAGAAATTTAGAATAATAAAATTTTAAATGTCTCTGAAATGAGAAAATTACATATCAAAATGTACAAGGTATAGCTAAATGTGATCTCAGAGCAAAATTCGCAGATTAAGATATACTATATCAGATATTGTTGAGAGGTTCCTAAAACACTAAATATACCAAACTCCAAGTCAATTGACAAGTGATAAGCTGGGAGAAACCCTTGCAGTACAGGAAAGATGACAAAGGGTGTGATATTGTGATTTATAAGGGATTTGGTCATTCTTTTTTTTTAATATTTTATTTATTCATGAGAAACAGAGAGAGAGGCAGAAGCAGAGACACAGTCAGAGTGGGGAAGTAGGCTCCTTGCAGGGAGCCTGACGTGGGACTCCATCCCGGGACTCCAGGATCACGCCCTGGGCGGAAGGTGGCGCTAAACCGCTGAGCCACACAGGCGTCCCTTGGTCATTCATTTCTCACATGCATTTGGTCTTTGTCCATGGTCCCTGGCTCACAGCTCCCCAGAGGCTTGGAATTTCCTAAGGGGAGGAAGTGATCAAGATGTCTTTTGTTACGTTAATGGAGGGACTTTGGAAAACACCTTAGGATGGGGGGTGGTTGCCAGGGGAACTAAACCTGTATTTTGAGGGTTGGAAATTTCAGCCTCTTTCCCCTCTCCCCACAGCTTCCGGGGTGGGGAGGGGCTGGAGATTTCCTGCCCCAACACCAGATATCAGATATTTAATCCATCCTATCTATGTATGAAACCTCCATAAAAACTTAAAAGAACGGGGTTTAGAGAGCTTCCGGGTTGGTGAACATGTAGGAATTTGGGGAGAGTGGCATGCTCAGAGAAGGCTTAGGAAGCTCTGAGCCTTTCCTTCATACCTCGCCCTATATATGTCCTCCATCTAGCTATTCCCAAATTATATGCTTCTGTAATAAACCAGTGATCTAGTGAGTAAAATGTTTCTGAGTTCTGTGAGCCACTCTGGCAAATTAACGGAACCCAAGGAGGAAGTGGTGGGAACGTCCAATTTGTAGCCAGTTGGTCAGAAGCACAGGTGATTGTGGACTTCTGACTGGTATTGAAGTTGGGGGTGGGGTGTGGTCTCCTGGCACTGAGGCCTGAACCTGTGGAATCTGATGCTATCTCTGGGTAGTGTCAAAATTGAGTTGAAATTGTGGGACGGGGCACCTGGGTGGCTCAGTGGTTGAGTGTCTGCCTTTGGCTCTGGTGGTGGTCCCAGGGTCCTTGGATGGAGTCCCGCATTGGGCTCCCTGCATGGAGCCTGATTCTCCCTCTGCCTATGTCTCTGCCTCTCTCTGTGTGTCTCTCATGAATAAATAGAATCTTAAAAAAAGAGAGAGAGAGAAATTGTGGGACACTCAGCTGGTGTCCGGAGAATTGCCTGTTGGGTGTGTGAAACACCCTTCTTCCTACAGTGGATTTGGGTCCAGCAGCACCCAAAAGAATGAACTGCCTTTGTTAATTTATAAATCAATAAGAGAAAACAAAACGTGAATAAAAATGGACAAAAGATATGAATGGAAAGTTCACAAAAAAAATAAAAAGGAATAACCAAAAACATGTGAAAATATGCTCAATTTCATTCGTAAGTGAAGAAACGCCAACCAATGTGATATTCTTTTCATGTGTCAGATTGATAAAAATATATATGTTTCATAATATTCAGCAAGGACAAGGGTATGAGGAAATGTGACAAGCATAGTAGGCAGAAGTATAGACTTGAACGAGTGTTTTGGAGGAAGTTTGGCAATATTTATCAAAGTTTTCAATTTGTGTACATTATGATCCAAGAATTCCATTGCTAGAAAGTTACTTTTTATTTTTATTTTTAATTTTTTTCTTTATTTGACAGAGAGAGAGAGAGAGCACAAACTGGGAGAAGGGGCAGAGGGAGAGGAAGAAGCAGACTCCCCGCTAAGCAGGGAGCTCCAGGCAGGCTTAATCCCAGGACCCTGGGATCAAGACCTGAGCAGAAGGCAGATACTTAAACCACTAAACCACTCAGGTGCCCCAGGAATTACTTTTTAAACTTACTTTTTAAAAAGTAGCTGTCTCTATATTTTTAATAGGGTTAACCAAAAATATATAAATAGCTGTTTTTTAAAAAATTCAATAGAGTGCTCACTACGGCAGCACACATACTAAAATTGGAATGATACAGAAATCAGCATGGCCCCTGTGCAATGAAGACACACGAATCCATGAAGCATTCCATATGTATTGTTGAAAAGAAAACCACAGGCCCAAAATGGTGTCACTTATGTTAAGGCGCCACCAGTAAACCAAGACTTCATATCTAATCAACTGCAGTTTCAACCACCCCTCTCCAGAACTGTGTTTATTAGAACCCTAATATTTCCACATAACATACAAAATGCAGTACTACACAAATCCTAGTCTGTCTCTGCTAGAAAAAAAGAGAGCTAGATGTGGGCCGAGTTGCTATTTCCTTAACCGGAAGGAGGTGCCAGGGACTTGGGAAATGACTCATAAGGGGTGACAGGACTCAGGAACCTATGAAACTGGGACATGTAAAACTTCATTAAGTCACATTTGGTGCAAGCAGTATGTATATGATTATATAACTAAAGTATGCTCTAAGAGTGTGTTCAAAGCTAGCTCTGATGAAGGGCACTGTGCTTCTAAAAGGAATAATTCCAGGGGCGCCAGGCTGGCTCAGCAGTTGAGTGTCTGCCTTCAGTTCAGGGTGTGATCCTGGAGTCCCAGGATCGAGTCCCACATCAGGCTCCCTGCATAGAGCCTGCTTCTCCCTCTGCCTGTGTCTCTGCCTCTCGCTCTCTCTCTCATGAATAAATAAATAAAATCTTTAAAAAGTTAAATAAATAAATGGCATGATTCCAGGGGTGCCTGGCTGGCTGTCAGTGGAACAGGTGACTCTTGATTTCGAGGTCATGAGTTCAAGCCCCGGATTGGGTGCAGAGATTACTTAAATAAATAACTTTAAAGAAAAAAAAAGAAAAAGAAACATTCTACAAGTTTAGAGAACAGCAAAAATGGACATTCTATACTCATCACACAACTTGGACCCTTCTGTACTCATGGCCAATCTTATGTCATCTATATCTCACCTACTATGCACCCCTCAGATTATTTGAAGCAAATTCCAGACATTTTTAAAATAAGGAATATTTATTATTTTTTTTAAAGATTTTATTTGGGGACGCCTGGGTGGCTCAGCTTGAGCATCTGCCTACAGCTCAGGGCGTGATCCCGGGGTCCTGGGATCGAGTCCCACATTGGGCTCCTTGCAGGGAGCCTGCTTCTCCCTCTGCCCATGCCTCTGCCTCTCTCTGTGTGTCTCGCATGAATAAATAAATAAAATATTTAAAAAATAAAGATAAAGGCGCTAAACCGCTGAACCATCCAGGGATCCCCACCCCTCATATTATTTTGAAGCAAATTCCAGACATCATATTATTCCATCTAGAATGTCAGTGTGTTTTTTTTTTAATTTTTATTTATTTATGATAGTCACAGAGAGAGAAAGAGAGAGGCAGAGACACAGGCAGAGGGAGAAGCAGGCTCCATGCACCGGGAGCCCGATGTGGGATTCGATCCTGGGTCTGCAGGATCGCGCCCTGGCCCAAAGGCAGGCGCCAAACCGTTGCGCCACCCAGGGATCCCAAATGTCAGTGTTTTTGAAAGATAAGGACTCTTTAGAAAATCTAACCTCAATATCATTTTCTCATCTAAAAAATTAATAATAGGGGCACCTGGGTGGCACAGTCAGTTAAGTGTATGCCTTCAGCTCAGGTCAAGATCCCGGGGTCCTGGGATCCAGACCCACATCAGACTCTCTACTCAGCGGGGAGCCTGCTTCCCCCTCTCCCTTTGCCTGGCTGCTCCCCTTGCTTGTGCTCTCTTTTTCTGTTAAATTAATAAATAAAATGTTAAAAAAAAGAAACTTAAAAAAAACAAGTAAAAAATTAATAATAATTTGGGGCGCATGGGTGGCTTAGTCAGTTAAGGGTCTAACTTTGGCTCGGGTCATGATCTAATGGGTTCTGGGATCCATTCCCCCCCACTTTGACTCCCTGCTCAGCATGGAGTCTGCTTCTCCCTTTGTCCCTCTCCCTGCTTGTGCTCTCTCTCTCTCTCACTCCCTTGCTCTCTCAAATAAATAAAATATTAAAAAATGATTTATAAATATCATCAAATACCCAGCTTTTACATTGCCCTAATTTTGTATATATATTAAGGAAGGCTTCATAAGGATGCTGTGTACCTCCATAATTAGGCATGTAACTGTTGGTTATTGTTTTTCTGTGATATTGTCAATCACTGATGAGCAGTGCCTGTATCATTTATTCACAAGGGGTGACAAAAGGGAATGTTCTGATTCCCTCCTTCCTTCTTCATTTATTAGCCCAAATAAATCTATAAAGGAGAACTTCCCCTGGCCAACTCTGGCATATATAAGAAAAACAGGATAGTTGCTGATTCTTGCCTGGTATTTACCAGTTTTCAATATCCAGAGTTGTTTCCCTGAGCATCCTCTCAAGATAAACAATGAGCTGTTTTTACTTAATGAGCTATTATTAATTCGTAAACTTGTGGATTCCATATTAACTTTTTAATTTTAATTCCAGTATAGTTAACCTACAGTGTTATATTAGTTTCAGGTGTACAATATAGTGATTTAATAATTCTATATATTTCTTTTAATCTCCTTCACCTATTTCACTCACCCCTCCACCCACGTCCCCTTTTGTAGCTATTTGTTTGTTCTCCAAACAAATGTTTGTTGGAGTTAATTAAGAGTCTAACTTGTGGGACGCCTGGGTGGCTCAGTGGTTGAGCGTCTGTCTTCCACTCAGGGTGTGATTCCAGTTTAGGGATTGAGTCCCACATCAGGATCCTTGTGAGGAGCCTGCTTCTCCCTCTGCCTGTGTCTCTGCCTCTCTATGTCTCTCATGAATAAATAAATCATTTTTTTAAAGATTTCATTTATTCATGAGAGACACGCAGAGAGAGAGAGAGGCAGAAACACAGACAGAGGGAGAAGGAGCCCGTCGTGGGACTCGATCCCGAGTCTCCAGGATCACACCCTGGGCTGAAGGTGGTGCTAAACCGCTGAGCCACCCCAGCCCAAAAGATTGGGCTGCCCAATCTTTTTTTTTTTTTTTAAGTCTAACTAGTGAATTTTACTTTATTTATTTTTCTTTGGAGTTTATTTTTAATCATCTCTACACCCAAACGTCAGGCTTGAACTTAACGACCCTGACATCAAGAGTTGCAGCTCTCTTGGGCGGAGCCAGCAAGGCGCTCCTAGCTTGTGAATTTCAAACACGTTTGTATTTAAGGTGTTTCAACCATCGCAATCCTAATCCCCGTGGACGCTCCAATTGTCCATCTACAGTCAGTGAGATCCTTCTCAGAACCGGCAAATTTTCTGCTCTAACAAAGCATTCCTTTCTTTCTGGTGTTGCTGGCTCATCCGGCTTGCCCACACGGCTTGAGGCTTTGTCAGTTTCCTCTTGGTGACAGTGTTGCTCCACAAATGCCGGGAAGCCCGCCATCCCTCACCCCACCCCCATCTCCACGCGGCCTCTGCTCCCGCCCTTGGGTCTGAAAAAAAAAAAAAAAAAAAGCCAAGGATCCTGAAAACCTCGGGAGAGGAGGCTACCTGCTGCCTGATTTGCCGGAAACCTGCCGGCTGCTGCGGGCCTTGCCTTTCTTCTTTGATGCTGAAATCAATCGGAGGTCTAAATGGCAAACTCTCATCACACATCATTTCTAGGATTCCATTTCTGTTCGTCCTAGTCTCTGGAAGCCCGCCTTGGTAGGCTCCACCTAGGATCGCCCGCAAGGTAGTGGTGTTGCCAAGGAGCGCTGGAAGCTAAAGGCTTGGAGGAAAGCAAGCCTCCCTGGCCACCTCGCCCGGAGGTCGGGGCCTCACAAACCTTCCAGGCCCCGGGCGTCCGCCTCCAGGTGCGGATCCAGACACCCAGGCCCGGGGTCTCACAGTGCGTTGGGTGGAGAGCAGCGTCTGCGTCTCTGGGAGCTTAGTAGAAATGCAAATTCCCCGACCCCAACCCCCCAGATCCGTTGAATGGGAAACTAGGGAGCCAGTAGATTCGGAGTCCGTGCACCAGGCCAGGTGTGCTCAGTGGGGAGTAGCTATCTGGGACAAGCCTTCGGAGGACCGCTCAGACGGTCCCGATCGCCTAGTCTGTGGGCACCGGGCGCTCCACGCGGAGGAGGACAGTTTTGCCTGGTGGTTTTATTGCTGATGTTGGAACCTGAACCCTTTCTCATGCCCTTAAATAGCCTTCTATTGCCTCCCATTTCCTTTACTTTCATTTCAGAAAGTGTTTAATGGTATCGTTAGAAAAGCGCACGCCCGTAGAGCCTGGCTATCTCAGCCGGTGGAGCCTGGGATTTTCATCTCGCCCCCAGTTCGAGCCCCACCTTGGGGGGGTAGAGATTGCTTTAAAAAAGGAAAGTTAGGGGAAAAAAAGAAAAGGAAAGTTAGGGCACCTGGGTGGCTCAGTGGTTGAGCGTCTGCCTTTGGTTCAGGGCGTGATCCCGGGGTCCCGGGATTGAGTCTTTTTTTTTTTTTTTTTTTTAAGATTTTATTTACTTATTCATGAAAGACACAGAGAGAGGCAGAGACAGGAGAAGCAGGCTCCACGTGGGGAGCCCCATCCGGGACCGATCCCGGCATCACGCCCTGAGCCAAAGGCAGACGCTCAACCGCTGAGCCACCCGGGCGTCCCTGGGATTGAGTCTTGCATCAGGTTCCCAGCAGGGACCCTGCTTCTCCCCCTGCCTTTGTCTCTGCCTCTCTGTGTCTCTCATGAATAAATAAATAAAATCTTAAAAAGAAAAGAAAGTCCATGCTGCTCAAAAGCTTTTCAGAAAAGAAAGGACTATATTGTAGAAATAAATGGCAAACATGAACCCAACATCCCAGGAATCCTAGGAATTTCTCATTTCTTTACATGTTCGTGCAAACTTTAATGTTTACTTATTTCTACATTTCTATGTTTATATTTACATAGATATGTTTTTATAAAATTGGATTTACATCTCCATATTATTTTAAATTTGTGTTTATCATTGAAGTGCTATATTTTTTCAGCTGTACAATAGAGTCATCAATAATTCTATACATTACTCCGTGTTCATCAGGGTAAGTGTAATCACCATCTGTCACCAAACCACATTGTTAACAGTAATATTGACTTTATTCCCTAT